CTTGGTGCCAGCCAACTATAATGTGGCTGCATGCTCCAAACCAAGCTCCCGAAGCTTCTGGCAAGTCACAATCGATGTGTGTGGCCTGGCCTGATGGGACACAATTCCTTTCCTCTTGACCGCTTCCAGGTAATTTCCTCCTTCAAACGTTGTAATTATTGAGATTATTGGTTCGAATTAAGGGTTTGGGAGCATCTTATAGTAGATCATTCCCCGCCAATCCCTACAAAAACATAACAAAACCTTGCTGACCGTTAGTGCTGACTTGGCCACCGTTTGCGTCGGCTCACTGCGATTCAACTACGACACGGTATCGTGCGGCACCTATACATCAAACTTCTCTTTGTATCCAGCCTTATTATTATTTAAGAGATTTCAACCAGTATTTTGTGCAATGTTCTGCTCTTCGAAGCAGTGCTTTCACGATGGTCGATATCGACAATTTCCATTATTTCATCGATATATTCGACAATTGGCTTTCCAGAGCGTGGTACATCTTTGACATTAAAATTACTAGAACGGAATCAACGAAATCGAAATTGTGCGGGTTTGGCTGTAATATGTAATCGTAGTATGAGGACTTTAAACACTATTCACATTTTCAGCCGCCTGGTTTACGTTTACGTCTTTATCGAAGAAAAACTGTAAAATATGGCATATATTTTCTTTGCTAATGTCCATCTTTAGCGCGTGCTCGAACAATACTGAGTTAAGCAATCACAAAAATATCTGAGAAGTTTTTTTCGTGTGAAATCTTATCTTCCTAACGCCATATAGCGTAACCGTATCGCACTTATACAACGCGAAGTACAGTTTACTAAACCATCTATGAAGCCGTAATACTAGGAATTTTAACTTTGTATGTTATGAGCTAGTGATACGTTCTCTAAACTTATGTTAATTCTTTAATTCAGTTTTTTTTTAGTTAAAGCGATTATTAATTACTTATTACCCAAACAATCAATTATCCTCAAATTACATAATATATCTATCATACTTAATGTGTTGGAATTCAATTAACCTATTTTCATGTGGCACCGCAATTTACTGCATTAATTTGATTTGTTTGCCACAACTATTTTGGCCGCGTCCACTAACACCTACAAACATACATACATATATGCCAACAAAGATTTGTATCTACAAATATATATGTAAATACAATATATAAATAAGCAATTGAGTGGTAATAGGTCACCCCGAGTAGTAAAACAAAATGCCAAAAGTAACTTAGACAAGCGCATAACCTACAAATATATTTTCGTATTTTCGTATATATATACAAGTATGTATGTAAAAAAAGGGCGAAATGTGTGTTCGTTTGCATACCGCGTAGGCGAATAGACAACTGTGCAGACACAGTTGAATTGGTTGAATGTTTCTCTTTCACTTTGTGGCCTGCCACAATTATTTCCGGATGAGTCTGTCTAAATTTCAGTTTGTCTACACATTGCGCACGGCTAACCTACTAGGTAGTAGTACGGTCAATACCTTTGGCGCAAAATACACGTACATAGTGTATATACAAAGAGAAGTGTGTGCGCCTCTGTAGCCAACTTGCCACGCTTTAATAGAGCGATCACTGTGTCAAATGCGGCACGTTTATTTGGTTTGTTTTTGGTATTAGTGTGCGCTTCACACGCCTCTTTATGTGCTTACGTTTTAATTGAAAAAGTTTGCACATCCTCTGCACGTGCACACCGCGCCTGCCCTCCGACAAATAAAGTTCGCACCCACACACACCTACACATTCCGGCTTTTCAATTATAAATTTCTATTAACTTATTTTTAGAATCGAATATAAATATATGAGTAGTACTCATTTAGCAACTTGCAGGAATTAATTACGCTTATTGCTGCTGTTGTTGTTGCTATTATTCACAGTTTAGTTTCTAATTTTAGTTTATATTCTGTGGTTTTAATTTTTTATTTGCAAAACTTTTTCAACATTTATCAGTTACGCCAAAACCGGGTGACACATTTCCATTTGTTTTCTATATTTTCTATATAGAAAATCATTTAACTGTAAATATACATGTTTAATAGGGAGGTTAATAAAAAACATATATTTTTTAAGCTTAGTGCTTTGAAAAATAGGTTCTTGGACAGCTCTCCGAAAATCTCTTCAAATATAAACTCTTAATTGTAACGGGAAGGTCCTCCAGTCCTCAGTTTTCTATTTTTTTCTTAATATCAGTTGGAAAAATTCATAATTCGTTTCAAATACCGCAAAAGTTACTCGTTTCAAAAATTTCGTGGGAAATTTAATGCTTTACAAAATGGTTTCTAACGTTTTTTCGTAAAGCTAACCGTTTAAAAGATATTGACGGTTGAAACTTGATTATTTTAAGGCACATTTTTTGCTTATGAATATTTTTTTTCAATTGCGAAACTCTTTGTTTTGTCTCAAGCTTACTGCTCTACAAAAACGGTCTCTTATTTTTGTTTTATTATTATTTTTTTTATTATTTAATTTTCGTTGATTTTCGACGATGGATATCCCGTTAACTTTTAACTTTATCAAAAAATTATAAGATTATAAGTAGAGGTGTCTAACAAACTATTTTTCGGAGTTAATTTTTTCACCCTCACTAATATATGTATATATTTATTTATTTTACCGCTTTATATGCACCACCACTGTTATTTTAACCCACCGTTCCTTTTATTTGTTGATTTTATATATTTTTTTCTCGCTATCTGCGTGTTAGGCGGTTAACCGTTATAGCTACAACCACAAAATAATAAAAACTATTGCGCCACAAATGGGAAAATTACGCCGACTAAAGTTAGCAATAGTCGATATTTGTGGCAAATGTGTAGTTAAGTGAAAATGCAAAACTTTCAAACCAATTCGTTCATACTTTTTAATGAAACTGTATTAATAGAAAATTATATTTTTGCGGTTTTAATTTTATATATTATTCGAAATATAATGCACTGATGAAAAAAAAAGTATTTATGTAATCGTCACGCGAATATTTTAAGGCGAAAACTATGTATTAATGTTAGTTGCTGTCTTTATCAGACATATTTACAATATATGTACGAGATGTGTTAAAAAAAAAACAATAACGGGAATATTCGTTTTTGGAAAAAAACATTTATTCATTCGGCTACATTAATGTTGTCATCTTCAAAATAGGTTCCATTCGATATTATGCACTTATGCCAGCGCTTCTTCCCATCGTCCAAATACTTCTCGAACTCGATTTTCGGGATAGCTTTTAGCTCTTTCAGCGATTTTAATCTTATAAAATATATATAAATATATATATGTATATAGAACATTAGGGGCATGATCCTTCAAATCCGCGAAATTTTAAATTTATTAAATTTCCCGTTATTTTCTTAACACACCTCATATACATGAATACTATATGTATTTTCAACAAAAAAACCGTTAATACCATCTGATCAAAGAATACCCGGACTGACAAAAAAACTACATTTTCATTATTTTAATAAAAAACCTTTATGATCACCCTCTAAATAGGCTTCAGAGCCAATACAGGCAAGCCAACATTTAATGCAAATTTCCATACACTTGTTATCAGCCACGGCTGGGATGGCCTTTCAGTGTCTTCAAATTGACATATCAAACATCACACGTACATAACAAAAGTTGTACTAATCTTGAACGCAGTTTAAATGAACCAATCGGACTTAAATGTAATAAATAAAATCTGAAACATGGGCTACAGTGGAATGCAAAATGAAACTCAACGTAACGAAAGCCTCCTCGTGCTCTATTGTTAGCAACAACTACCCAATTTTCAGGCACTGTTAACCTCTCTCAGCCACTATTTACAGAATCGTTAAGCTGCGAATATAGCTTATCGGTTGTTGTTGTTGTAGCGGCAGAATTCTGCCAAGTTGACAGTCCTTGGTCGGATAAAAATTCAGTTCCAGTTACGAAGACGACCCGACTGCCGTGGGAACAGCTGTTTATCGTTATTTGAGGTTAGTTGAATATTTAAAGGTAAAAAACGTTTTATATAAATTTTTGGCAAAACTACAAGTCCTATGGAAAATAGTTAAATGGCAAAGTTTTAGGTACTAAAAGATCTATAACTTTTGTGCAAATTTTATATAACCAATTTTCAATCACTAGGGGCTTCTTTTATTTACATTTTCTGAGAAAATTGATAATAATATGAGTATTTTTTTACATCATCCGAAAGTAGAGATTTCAACGTGTAACTGTTCTTAAACTCAAGTGGAGTGGAGCTATTCCACCTAAATATTCAACTAAATTTTCATTTACGTCTATGGCAAGCTTTGTGAGACTATGTATAACTAATAAAATCTGAATAACAATAATTATTATATTATATTTATTGAATGCAATTTATAACGGTTTAATATGAAACATTTTTAAATAGAGCAGAGTTACCATCAAAAATGTAATCATTATAATTCTCAAGAATACTTTGTAGCAAAAATTGGTGTTATATCCACTTTCACGTCAGAAAAACACGATTTTAGTGAATTTTTTTGATGAAGCATTTTATTTGATAAATAAATAATATTAATAAATTAATTAATAAAAAATTTAAATTTACAGAATTTTATGTACATTAATAATGAGTGCTTGAGATGTCTAGCGGTCAGGAAGATTTTTCTGCTTAAAATTATCCAAAATCCAAAAACCTAAAAAAATATTATTAATTTTGATAAATACAGGTAATGATCAAAGATTTAGTCAAAATTTTGATTTCTGACAAAATGCTGACTTCCCAAAATAGAAAGATATTCTTTGGGGAAAAACTTACATTACAGACTGAGTAAAAAATCGCAATTATTAAAAATTAATAAAAATCCATCATTTCCTGACAAAAACCAAGGTCATCTAAAAATTTTCCTCACCGACTCTGAAAACAGCGTTTCGAGAAAAACGCGTTCGAAGTTTTGGAAGCAGATTACACTGAGTAAAATATTTCTTTCAAATACGCTCATATCTGCAAAAATATTTTCCGGATCAACTTCGTATTTTCAGAGAGTATTCCTAAATATATGTATATTTAATATATATCGAAACAAAAATCGATTGTTTTTCAAATCACAAGTGATTTAAGCCCTTAAATGTCAGCTAATTGTCAGATTTGACAGCTGATTGACTCCATCAAGTGAGCGTTAAGCATATACTCGTATGTATGTACCTTATCTGTAGCCAACTGTATATGCAGAACTTTTTTGATAACATTGCATCAGATATATAAAGAAATACAATATGTAAATATATAAAGAAACTCCGTTGGCAACCCTGTACTAATTTAACCACATCCAATCACATTAATATGAAAATATACAAAAAATTCAATTGATACTAGACATTGGTGCACAATTTGCACACATTTTCAAAGGCTTAAAATACTACCACACAAATGAAGCGAACATTTGAAGTCGAGCTAAAATCACATATCTTGCTACTACTTTGCCTAAATATTTGCTCAGCCAGATGGGAGAGTGCGTATGAGCACTTATGTGATAAAAAAGGCTGCAGTTATCTGGTGAGATTGGATGATATTGTGGAGAAGATTCCGCATCAATGTAAGTTTTAAATTGAGTAGATATATGTACCGATATATTAGCATATAGTATATAGGTATTAACATTTTTCTTCTTCCAATCACTATACGCTTGCAGTATTTTTCGATTGGGAATGGAACGGCTTTTATACTGTGTATATGGATGAAGAGTCGAACAGTTTTCAGTATGGTCATGAGATATGTGTGGATGTGAACGGCTGTAATGGCACATTTATTTGCGCTCAAATCCATGAAATGACCAAATTGAAGGAGCAGGTGGCTCTTAATGTTGCGGGTCGTGTTCTTGTAAATAATGTGGTGATTTATTCAGACGATGCTATGACATTTACTTTTTCAGGCGTAGAGAATTTAATAGCAATGCCAACGGATGTGGAAAATTTTTTAGTAGAATTGGGTTATTGAATATACATATGCGTAAATCATAAAATATACAATAAATGAAAATAAGTAAATAAGTAATATATACTAAAAAACCGAAAATCATCCAAAAAACTAACTTTATATCCCAAGCGAAATTGATCCGGTCCAACCAAATAGAAAAAAAAAATGCCTAGGTTCGCACAACCTTTCTTATGTTCGTATGAATTAAACTCCATATATCAATTTGTGTGTGTTTGACTTATTTGGAAGGCGATAATAAAGATTTATATTGAAATACGTGAAAATATATTGGTTTTTTGTTAGTCTGGGTCAAAATTGATTATATATGCTCGTATATATGTATACAATATACATACTGGTATACAATAAAATATATAACAATGAGTGATAAAAGCAACGGATATTTTTAAATTTAACTCTAGTAGGAAACCGATATGTCAAAATAGCAATATCTTTCTATGGTTAGTCATATATAAGCACATATCAATAAAAAAAAACCACTACGCACTCAGCATTATCAAATAGCTCGAAAAATCACTCAAAAATACCAACGTTAATCGCATCTGTTTATTTTTACAAATTTCGTCATGTGTTGATATTTTTATATGTCCTACGCATTTACCATACAGCCAATAAAACTATATATAATAAGCTTATACAACAATAAATATAATATTAAAGCAATGATTCATAAAAATTAACTCCAATGATGAAACAAAGGAAGAACTCAAGTAAAACGAGAAAGCTTAAATTACTCAGCAAAATAGAAATCCTTATCAATCCTCGATAGTATAGTGGTCAGTATCCCCGCCTGTCACGCGGGAGACCGGGGTTCAATTCCCCGTCGGGCAGTTCAGGATTAAGCTATGATTTTACAGATTTCAAAAGCTTTTTTAAACATATTCCAAAAAGTATTTTAACAACGTTGTATGAGTATATGCATATAAAATTAATACGGTACTTATATATACGTATACATACTGATGTATTGTATATGTTTTTTTTATTGTTTTGAAAATATAAATCTCAGCAAAAATATTATATTATATTGTATTAATATAAAACTAAAATTGAAATAAAAAGGAACAAAACAGTGATTACTCCCCGACGGGGAATTGAACCCCGGTCTCCCGCGTGACAGGCGGGGATACTGACCACTATACTATCGAGGATTGATAATAATTAAATAACGAAGTATAAATTTATTTGTTTATATAATGATTTGAATTCACAAAAATTGAGTATTGAAAATCGTCTTATCAATGTTTACAGGTTTTAAGATGCCATAAATATTTTCATACGATTTTAATGTAATACTAACCATGTAAGATAGTATTGACAAAACTGCTGTTGCTTTAAAAAAAATAATTTTGAAAACCGTTGCCAGTTAATCTGAGCCGAGCTAATGCTTTAGGTCGTTCGTAAAATTTCATTTATGAACAAGATAAAGAGAGAGAGCAAGAGAGAGAGAGATGTATTTTACAGAATATATTCAATATTTTCTTATCTTTACAGCAGAGTATATTAAGTTTGCCACGAAGTTTGTAATACTCAGATGGAAACGTTGTAGACCCTATAAAATATATATATAAACCATCAGCATGACGAGCTGAGTCGATTTAGTCCGCCTGTCTATCCGTCTGCATGTGCGCGAACTAGACCCTCAGTTTTTGAGATACCGATCTGAAACTGTGCACATGTCCTTTTCTCCCGAAGATGCTGCTTATTGGTTGGAACATAAGACTATTTGGCTTTGCAATTTAAAATTATTTATTTTTTTCATTGAATTCTAAAATTCAAAATAATAACACAAATTCGCATTAAAATAGTCCAACTTTGAACATTAATATTTTTTAAACGGTTAAATTTACGAAAAAATCGTAAGAGCATTTTGTAAAACATTCATTTCCTACAAAATCCACAAAACGAAGTATTTTTTTAAGTAGTTGGAGGCGAGATATAAATTTTTCTATATGATACTCTATAAAGAAAACCGTTTGGCGGAGGACTTTCCCGTTACAATTAAGAGAAATGCTCGAACGGGTCATCGAAAATTCTTTTGAATGATAATAAACATTCTCCATTAAATTTGAATTTTCTGTGTTTTTTTTTTAAATAGGAAACCTCGAAATGTATCACTCTATATAACTGTAAAGAAAAGTGTGTAGCTAACCTAAATTAATCGTTGTACACACAATAAGACAGTCACATAAGCCCTGATAATTTATTAAAGCTCTGTAAATCAGAAAAAAAGTATGAAAATGGCAAAGTTATTTAATTAAAGTTAATTACATTTATGTATGGCTTGTTCAGAGATTTAAGAATTTATATTTACAATGCGATTATTTGAAAGCAATGTTTAGATTATTACCAAGGATGCATATTGGCGATTTCGGCAGCTGAGCACTACATTTTCGCAGCGCAAATATTTAGTAAGTGTGCGCACAATTAGCACGTTTTTTCTAATTCTACTTGTATGTATGTATGTTAGTAGGAGAGTGTGTGTATGCAAATAACAAGCGACACAATTGACACGTTGACAACAGGTGTCGTGTGATAGATGAAAGCTTTTCTCGCGCCAAGTGTTTAAGACAAACACGAAAGTGTGTTATTATGTTTGTATGGAAATGAGAAAAGTGGGCTAAATAAATCTACGAAACTAACGTTTTACGCATGAGCACTTAGATTCTATTTGACTGATGCTGTGCAGGTTTTGCCAACAAATCGGAGCGTGACAATGAGAAGCTTGTTAAAATAGCTCGATAAGAGTTTGGTAACTTTGTTGCTATTGTTAATAGTTTGATTAGTGATTATTGTTGCCATATTTTGTTGTTGCCGATCGGTGACAGGTGTGAAATCGTGCGTATCGTGCAACAAGTACGCACGCGCCATAGAATTTAGTTAACAAGTATTCCCCACTAATTGAGTTAACATGCTTCATTGCATAGCATATATGTATTTACATTCAGTAGAATATTTTAATAGAGAAAGTGCACGTATTTCGAGAAAAATAATTTGTTTAGTACAAATTTAATGAAAAAGCATACTATTTTTACAATTAATCACGTGATGACGTGGGAGAAAATTGTGTTTGTGATTTTGATTATACGAGTATAATTGGAGTGCATATTGGTTTCCAATTGCTCAGAGCAAACTGTTATTTATGAGCTTCTAGAGATGACAAAACCGAGAAGGCCTTGTGATCATAAGCGTCTTAAAACACAATAAAAATACCGAGGTTTGATAAGCATTTATAAACTTGATTTAAGACTTGGTAGTGGTAGTGGTGAAGTATTTCCACATTACTTTTTCTTGTTGAATAGCATAGCCATACAAACTGACCCATCAAAATATAGTCCGATATCTTCCCGAAATTTGGCAAGGCTTTTTGTGATTCATTCAATTCAAGTTCTTGTATGCAAACTTTTTTATTTGTGAAGGGTATTATGCTTCGATGCAGACGAAATTAATGCTTTTTTTTTATTAGTTTTTAATAAGTCTTGAACCACATACTTTGTGACTATTATAACATTCCTCGGGCACATGAGAGTTCTATATAAGCTGTATGCTCTTCCTCAAGAACCACATAATTGTCGAATGACAAGGGTCGCTACTCGTATTACATTTTGAAAGACTGAAAAAGTTGTTGTTGCCAAAAGTTATATACAAATAGGCAAATCAATTTACAACACTAGTAATATATAGTATTATCTTATGGTTACTTACCCCATTAAACAGAAAAGATAATTATTTTTATTCCAATCAAACCGATTTCCTCAAAAGAATAATTTTATTTAATACAATTTCAGATAGATGTTCCATTTTTCAAAACGTTTTTGAGCAAAATTGTGGATCAACAACCCTTTTTTTATATAGATCCACCTACCTTAGTAGCTAAGAAAACAATTGAGATATATGAAACTGAAGAATTAGAGAATTCATCTCAGCTGGTTACGTAGCACACATAGCATGAAATTAAAAAAAAACTCGATTTTTTTTCTCAAATTCCTAAAGGTTATACTTTTAAAAATAATATAATAAAAATTTATATCTTAAATAGTTTTTGAGTTACAACCTTTTAATGTGTAGCTGCTCGCTCCAAATAGCTCTATCAGCTTATCTCTAAACGCATTTTTCTCAAAACTATAACTTTAAAGTTTTCTTGAATGATTACTTAGAGACAAATGATCGGACTATTATCTACTTCTTCTGCAATTTCTGTATATAGTGCTCAATACAATGACCGGACCAGTGGTTTGATCTGATCAAGAATTAATGGTAAAAATTATAAATTATAAAATGATAAGTTAATAGTCATTTTTCGGAAGTGGAAAAACAAGATTATATATTTATGTCTTCAGGTACGATAACAGTAAAATCTCTGGACAAAATTTATATTGCCACTTACAAATTATAATAAGGAATATTTAAATAAAAGCACATATTAAAAATGTATAATTTCAACAAAACACATTCGTCAGTATATTTAATTCAAAATTAATTTGATTTTATTTTTCCAAAAAGCTCAATTGCAACCAACACTTTTGTGCAACAATTTTCAAAAATACTGTGCACTTTTGCACTTAAAATATTTACAAAACGCATAATTAAATGATTAGTTAAGTGCACTTAAAGTTTTAATTATTATTGCAAATACGTACAGATGTGTAATTGAATTTTTAAATAAGCAGAAATAGGCATATTTACATTCACATACAGGTTGGTTGAAAAGTTTCTGCTCTCGAAATGAAAAAATACTGTTTTTGGTACGAAATACATTTTTTTATTCAATATAATATCCCTTAACTTCAATACACGTATTCCAATGATCCTCTAATAATTTTATTCTATCCTTATAATGACTTTCCGAAAGCTTTGCAACATAGCCGTGCTGTAATAGCTTCTTCATTCGACGAAAAACGCTTTTTTAGGTGTCCTTCGCGTGGATCGTGTTTAAGCCAAGTACGACGACGTTTAAATTCACCAGAAGGACTCCTTATACACTTCTAAGAATTTTTCATAAATTTCCTTTGCTTTTAAACCTTTCAAAACAAAAAATCTGAACACTGCGCGATATTAAATTTTTTCCGTATTAAAAAATACTCTGACCCGTCAACTTCAAATGGCTTGTAAACGAAGAATTAATTGACAGAATGACCTGTAACTTTGCATGTGTTCCCACGACAGATGCACCAACTTGAGAGAAAAAAATTGGAGCTAGTAGTGCTATTTCTTGGTGATAGCTAGCAACTTTTCAACCAACCTGTACATTCTTACCATA